ATTTTCGCCTATGTTTAGAGGAAACGAAGCTGTCAATCCGACGTTTGGTCGTACGGCGTAACGGTTTGGGAAGTGCTGACGCGCTGCGAGGACATACCGTATGCCGACCTGACCTCGGAACAGGTGTTGGAGAACTGCGGCCTATGGTACTCGTTGGACAACGGCGGTAAAAAGAAATGTCCGCGGATCCTCGAGCAGCCGGTGTTCTGCACGGACGATCTGTACCGGTTGATGCTGCGATGTTGGTGCAAACTTGTGGAGGATCGGCCCAGTTTCCAGGAGATTTACTGCTACCTCAAGAAGCTGACTCTGGATTAAATGTAACGCAAATGCGAATGCATCTCTGCCGAAAGAGCATACGAGAAACGATCCATGCTCCAGCAGCAGCAGCAGCAACAGCAGCAGCAGCGGCGGCGGCGCGGACCAAATCGATTACAATCAGCTAAGAAGCATCCTGATTTCTTTCTTGATCGCTTTCGCAGGTAGCTCGAACTGATCGAGCGAGTTGAATCGAATCGAGGAGTCGTAAATGCCTAAACACAACAACGTGGGATGCTCTCTGGCCACTAAAATTACTGCTCAACTAGATTTATCTAATTTTGATTATATAAGTAAGTGTAGGCTAATGACATAACGATAAAAATTTAATGCGGCGGATAATCGCAGGTTTCTCGTATAATATTCTATGCGTATGTCAAGGGATAATCTGAGAATAATTTTTCAACGGTTATTTCCACAACAATCTTTCGCGAGAAATACGTGATTTTCGCGAGCGAATAAGAGAGATTCACATCTATTTACTAATTTCTTACTTTACATATCTTTCCTACGCTTATACATATATATACATATTACATATATATGTGATACCCATTATCGTTTTTACTGTTAAAAAATATCGTTCCATTTCTTCTATATCTATTGTCTAGGTAGCCGACGCGAACAAGCTTTCCAACGAAACTTGTCGTAGTTATGCTCGAGTTTGTTGCAGATTCTGCGCAAAACTTTAGTCGCATTTTGTCGGCTTGATACTTTATATCATCGTGAAAATTCGTTGCACGTAGCCGAAGCAAAATAATATAAGTAAAAAATCGGCATAAGCGAGGTAATACTCAATTACGTCGAGGAATGACAATCAGTTTTGCTCACCTATTTATATGTACTTATTTTACGAAATAATATCACGATGTACTCGTATTGATCAATTCAGCTTATCTATCGTAGGAAGAGGGCGGATCGTTTGATCTTTAATCAAATTTCGCAGTGGCGCAAGATTTTTAAATAGGAATAATCTTCATATATATATCCTTTCTTACATATATGTATATCTTAAGCTAAGTCATCTCCAATTTTATTCGGAAATACATAATACACGATTCACGGGAGGTATTTGGAACGAGGGTGCTCTTTACGAATCGCGTTATTGCGTTATTCTTCCAATTTAAGAATAAGGATATATTTAAATAATTTCTGTGCCAAATAGCAGTAATTCAGAAAGGATGAGTTTCAAGATGTACTTGAGCTGTACTTGAACCTCGTGCGAATATTTTGTTCCAATGGATATAATTAGATTTCTAAAGCATACTTCCTATTTTAAGATACACCCCGTGCGTAATAACAACGTTAACTAAGAAAACGAAGCAAAAGAAAGGAGCAAAAGAGCAAAAGAGAATCACAATTACGACTATTGGAAACAACGACGATAATAACGATTATGGTAAACGTACAATTTTAGATTATATATGTTTATAACAGATGTAACGTTTAATTAAATCAAATTTGTAATATCAATCATGTGTATTTCTTTAAAAATGTAGATCTGATCTAATTATCTGTGCGTATGTATAAAGATTATCGTTTTCTTTAGAGTTATTTCATATTGACAGTCCAAGGGTTTCAACGAGTTAAAACTTTAGGAGTACTAAAACTTTATTTCCCATCTAATTACTGACAATTAAGTAAATAATTATTTACAACCTTATCAACAATTGTTATAATTTATTGTTACAGTTTCATACGAGGCGTACGATATTCATTTCTTTGTGAAAATCCTCGAGAGACTGTTCCCAGCGTTCCTCGAAATATATCCCTAGCAAGAACTTCGCATTCAATCCGGTATTTATAGACCACGGGAGATAATGATTCAAGTATAATTGCCTCTGTCTGAAATATTATGACATACGAAATGATCACTACGATATATCAATAATAACCGCAGATTATCGTACGAAGTAGCTCACGAGTTTACCTAGGACGTAGTCGACTAGCTCCGAATATCGCACCAGTTATGCACATCGGCAAACGCAGCTGCAAAGCCTCTACCCACTTAACCGACACCTCTCCTAGCATCGTCGTCGGCATTAGGAGCATAGCGTGAAAGATATCGTGCACCTCCCGATATCGTTGCATCACGTAGGCCAGTTCGATATCGTTGACGAACTGCACCGCAAGTCTATCGTCGGGCGACACATTCTGCAATCACATAGCTCGCTCGTTACGTTTTGCTCACGGTTGTTCTCTAGACGGTAAGATTCATCTTACATTGTCAACCAAGAAATCGCGATACGTTCTGCCCACAGTTCCTGGCGGCAGGTCTCTGAGGTAAGCGAGGTCGACGGCGGACGTGTTTACGCGTGGCTTTTGCGCAAGTACACGTTGACCCTCGCTCGTATCCTTCATCCGTTGATGACAGCGCACGAGGGCGTTTGTACCGGTAGTCTCCCCGAGACACGCTATCATGTCACCTCGATACGGATTCGCCAACGATACAGCCGCCGAGCCCATCGTGAGAAGCACACGCTGCAGGGGGGATAGGGATACATGGTGCTTGGCATAATCCTCCAGGTACGCCTTGCAGGCGGTCGCGAAACGGCCTGAAACCGAGCGAGGAAAGTAAGAAGGTCTGAGAAACCGTGTTGTCTGTTAATAAATAAAATTTATTTCCATTAAAATAGCGCTGTTATATGTATGTACAGATTTAGCGTGTAAATTACATCTAACTTCGTATGGCGATGGTTGTACCCTAATTGACCTAACTGAACGTTTTCCTAATTAGGCGTAATACTTATTTGGTAACATAATAATTTTACTTTGGTATATATTACAGTCAGGTTGTCGATATTACTTCACGTCGCTCCCTAACTCGGGCAAGTTAAAAAGCACTTTGTGACACGAGGAACAGAAATATTCATAACAGCTATTGGTCAACGTACGCATCACCCTGTCATTGCTTGGAACAAAGGACCATGTTTTGTTTCTTTATCTCTCATACTTAAATTAACGATTTGTCTTATCTTTAACGATTTGTCTTATCTTACGTTTAAGTAAAGATCACTAGCTGTTATATACTTCCTGAAGTAAATCATAAATCTTTTGTACAAATGCTTTGTATCATACAGAATTGTTGTATCATACACTCGTAATATACATCACGTTGAGCTTTCTTTAACACCAAAAACTTACAATCATATGGCTTGTATCTGACTGGCCTGAGATCGAGCCAAAGTGTACTTCGGCTGACTCTCTCTTTTGCGAAACGTTACCCAAGTGTACACTAAGCTACCTATCACACTTAAATTCAATCCTACAAAGTTCAACAACGAAAATATGTAGTCCCCGCCGATCACCATGCCGAGATACGTCACGCATATATTTTTCAGACATCCGATTATGGTGGTCGTCAGCGCGGAGTTGTACAGCGTACAGAGGAGCGTGCTGTACGACAGTACAAAGCCCATTATGCACGACAATACAAACTGCAGGACGAAAAACGGATTGGTCCAGCCGGGAAACTCGAGCGCCAGGGTGATGTCGCCCATCCACCAGGCCAGCAGGACCGTCGGGCCGAGCATGAACAAAGAATTGTAATACATCAGTCCGTATTTTCCTAATTCCTTAGAATCCAGCTTCTTTTTCATATATACACCATTGGCGGCGGTGAAAAAATCGTTCAACAGGATAAAGATATAGCCCTCGAGATTGAAGGCGAGATCGTTCAGCGCGGCCACCACCGCGCCCAGGATCATCGTGTAAACGCTCAGCTGTATGGACAGGCGCGCCTTGATGCCGAGGATGTAGTACTCGGCGATCATCGTCATGAGGATACTGAATCGCCTCAGGGCGGTGAACATCGGCAGGCTCAGCTGCTTGGTGCCGCCCAGGCCGAATATCATGTTGCCGATGTATATCAACGGCAGTGGCCAGATCTTGGTGAAGGTCGCCACCTCGAGACTCGGGAACTCGACGTACCGCAGCTTCTTCGCGACGAGCAGGACCAGGATCGTCGCGAGCATCTGGCCGATCCCCAGCACTTGGAAGGACGGGAAGCCGTACGACGTGAGGATGGTCTTGTTGACGACCGTTATCATGAACGACGACAGCCCGTAAAAGACCGCCGACGACACCCGCGCGAACATCGCGTTCTGCTCGTGTTCCGTCATCCCCGAGAGGAAAGAACGTATAGCAGCCTGGCGCACCGGCCTTTCCGCCACTCGGCTCGCTCTTATCCGTCCGCAACGAGCCTCGTTATCCGTGAATGAATCGTTTACTGTGATAAATAATTACACACATAGAGGAACCTACGCTTAGATAACCTTATCATTCCTCCTCCGTACATGGCATCGGCTGCGCGATCGAGCTCGCGCTGGAGGTTCGGCTTCGGGGTGAAGGCCTCGACGGGGAACGGCGCGCGGTCCCCCGCGGAACGTGAATTTTCAGACCTCAGGCGTGTGGCGTGTGATGCAATCGCAAAGGCATGCTCCTCGCGACGATCAGACCATCAGACTGATCAGGATCAGAGTCTCCTCCGCCGATCTCGCTCTGCGATACCGCTGGCGGAAAAAAACAAACCGTGACAGGTGTAGATATGGTGGACTTCCGAAGGCGCAAATTCTTAAGCTAACTTGGCATTTTTATCAGCAACAATCGGACACAAAATATATGTCTTTTTTTATACGTACGACGTTTGGAAAAATTGAGCTTATAATAATTGTAATTGGCTCCGATTTCAAATGCATTTCTTTCTGCTGTTTATCGTTTATTTATATGCTTTATTTATAACATATTTTTCTCGAATCTCTATAAATGTTTAATTATATACCTATTTCAATTTGCGTGATGGAAGTATATAACAGCTACAAGGAACAGATCTCTCTTTTGATTGTATGATCGATTCACAATTCACATGCTAAATTATCGTTCTTTATGATCTCATGTTTAATTGCGAATGTATTTTGATGTGAATACGAGGAGTGATTTTTGGACAATCTAACTTTTGCATTCAGTTTTGAGATTATAGGCATATTCCAATGTTATTATTTAATTTTATATACACCTGTTGGTACTTATTTGAAATTTTGCAAAAGCGAGAAGGGAAGTTTTAATGCAGCAATTAAAAATAAACCTTTTACTGGTTGAATGAAATTTTAAGGATTATCCAAGACTGGATTTAAATATAAGATCGAACTACGAATATAAATCCTGTACATTTTACGCAAATTCAAATACATGCTTTCTGCGAAAAATTATTTTACCTTGAATTATAAATTTCATAAATTTCTCTTATCAAAGATTGTAACTTTTCATAAAGCGTAATTCGGCCGGACCAATCATGCGCCACGAAGAGTATATATTTCTTCTCGCCTTTTATTTCACGTATGCAAATTCGTCATCTCTACGAACACGCAATGCGACACGACGTTCCTTATCCTTTCAGATCAAATATCAAATCTCCACGGCCCACGTTGCATTTGTATAACGGATCCACCGGCACGGCACGGGCGCCGCCATTTCTCTTCGCGGTCGGGGATCGTCGCGGATCATCGGGGATCGTCGCGGCGACCGCGGAGTATGGATCTCGGCGATCGGGAGCTGTCGTCGGGTCGGGAGCGCGGAGGGCGATCTTCCTTCCCCCTCGGGGGGCAGGGTAGAGGCTCGTGTATCCCTCCGCCGCGGTCGCCATGGCGACGACCGGAACGCGGAACTACTTGCGGAAGTTCGCCCGTTAATTCCGGATCGCCGGTGGTGGCGGGCGACACGACTTTCCTGACGGCGCTCCTCAGGTCCCACGGCTGCGATTCCTCGCGCGGTCGACCGTGCTCCGGGACGCAGAGTCGCCGAGATCCGCGCGCGGGTGGTCACCTAGGAGTCCAGCCGAGTGATTCGCGTCCCCGTTGTCGCCCGTCGGCGCCGTGACCGCCTGCCGTCGTCGTCGATATCGGATCCTCTCGAAGCCGTCCGTCGTCCGCGGGGAGGACAACCTCGGGTCTCCCGATGTAAGTACGCGATGACAGCTTCGCGCGGCTCGCGAACCGGTCGCGCCCGACGCCCCGACGGCGAGCCGTCCCTCGGGACGTGCGGCACGTCCGCGAGGGACTCTCCACGAAGGAACAAATGCCCCGTGCACCGCGCCGACGGTCCCGTTTCCGCGAACGTCAATCGATAACGGGGGCTGATTATTGACCCCTTGGAAATTGATTTTTCCCCGTTGTCTGCTCGTGACACGATCGAGCCGACCTGCGATGAGTTTTCACCGCGGCTGTCCGCTCGCGACAATTCGCGCTTTTGTTTCTATTTCGTTTTTTTTTTGTCGCGATCGAGACCGGTGACGGACGATGCACCGTTCTCCATATGGATAGAAAAGGGGAAAAAGAGGAGACGGTGGAAAATTGTCACTATTCTTTGTGACAATGGAGTTTTCTTGACAAATAAAATACTAATGAAGTCATAAAGAGAAATATAGGAGTACGAGTCTTTAATTTAGATATTTAATCAAGACTGGATCACAGTTTATCTTATTTTTTATTCCTTTGTATATTATATCTAGTATAGTATAATGTCTAGTATCTATCTAGTATAATATAATTTTTGAAGTTTTTTTTAAATTAATATCTTACATTATTTTGTATTAAAGCAAGATAGAAATTGTGCCATTACATTGATCATAAGTGTATCATTCAATATCTTTTACTTCATGCTCAAATATTTTTAATCAAGGTTTATGCTAAGAGCAAGTCAAGCTAAACTTTGAATTTTTATCAGAAAAGCCTGTACTTTGTTAGATTAATACCTTAGATTAGTTTGTATTAAAACGAGGC